TGATAAGAATGTCTAATGGTCTAATGTGCTTTCTGTAGCTTTAAATGATTGACTTAATTGTTTCCGACTTCAAAATGATAATGATAATTGTCTCCGACATTGTATATGAAAATGAATGTGATTTGACTTTTAGTCCTTTATAATAATAATGTGATGTTTGAGTTCCTTCAATATGAATACAAAATTGAATGGATCATGTTGATGTTCTTCTGAATGGTAATAGAATAAATTAAATTAATGTGTAGATGTTGATAATGAATGTTAATGTTAATGTTTATATTTGATTCAATTGATAAAGATTGAATATTTGTGAATGATAAATGGTATAATATATGATAAATGGTGATGATCAATGATTTAACAATGCATTGATATGACAATAGAATTATAAATTAATAGTAACTGCTTCTTGATGTGTGAGCTAATAACAAACTCTTCTAGCATAACTATATTGTAATACGAAATAATAATGATGTAATAAATTAATGTAATAACTTGATAATAACTTAATGTAATAACTTAATGTAACAACTTAATGTTAAAAATCCTTGATAATAATAACTTCATTAACTGAATCTGTTGTAGAACCTTATGTTCTTGTCTTAGATGTGTGTAAATGTATTAATGATTGATGACATATTCTTACTTGTGACTATCTTGAATTAACTTCTTCACTTCTGTCTCTTTCATGTAATAGAACTTTCTTTGTTGATTGTATGTGTGTGATTGTCTTTACTTAAAAGTATTCTCTGGGTCGTTCTGACTTATCAAAATCTGAAAACCAAAGTCTTTTCTTCACCATCTCCTCCTTTTGAGCTTGAGAGTTTATCTCTTTCTCTTGTTGTAATAGTTTATGTGTTTGGTGGATGTCTTTCATTTCCTTTAGCTTTAGTTCATTAACATAACTTTTCAAATTAAATTCCTTTTCATTCTTTCTAGTATAGTCTTCAATACTTAAATCTTTCTGTCTTTGATGTTTATAACTTAAATCCCTCTTGGATCCTTTACTTTTAGTTGATGTATCCTTTGTAACTTCATTACCTTCTTTCACAATCTTTATTTGATTTAACTCTGTGTTATCTTCTTGCTTTGACTGTTCACTATCCATTAATTCTCTAGACCTAATAATACCTCCTAGTCCTTTCAAGTCTTCGTCCTTATTTCTGACGGCATAACCTAACTTCTCTAACTTCTGATAATCCTTTGTATTCCTGGTGATGGTTTTCTCTTCGTCCCTCCTGACGGTATTCGGCGGCTCTGTATCTAATTCAAATAAACCTAATAATTGACTTAAATCTGTACCTGATTTCTCCTTAACTCTTTCTATTGCTCCTTTAACTCTTTCTGTCTTTCGATAATCTAATTCTTGATGTTCAATAGCATCTCCTATTTCATTAACTTCAACTGATTCCCATGGTAAAAACTTAGCATACTTCTTAACAAATGGTAAACCTAAATATATTTGATCCTTTAATCCTTCAACAATATACGTTGATATACTTGTAACTATATTTCTTTCATTCTCTAACTTAACTTCTAATGCTATTTGTACAGCTCTATTTGTTTTCGTACCTCTTCCTTTTAATGCAACTTGTATCTCTATTGGTTCAACTTCAACTGAATCTTTATCCAAACCTATTTCTTCAGCTAACTTCTTTGATATAAAATGACTTTGCGCTCCACTATCTATTAACGCATTAACATGTTTCTTTGAATAACCTTTCACTTCAACTGGTATAACAAATGCTTTTCCTTTTGGTATATGTAAACTATGTTTATGTTTTTCATGAATTTCTGATTTCTCGCGATCTAAATCTTCTTTACTTTCAGCAGCTTCAACTTCCTCAATATCTTCAAGATAAAAAATGTTTTCTACTTTTAAATTATTTTCTGAATTTCCATGTTCTTCTCTTTTATTTGTTTTTGTTTTCAACTTTGTTTTCAATTGTTTTTGGCTTTTATGTTTTCTGTTTCTATTTCTAATGTACATCTGATGTATCCCTTTTCTATCATGCTTAGACGGGATGTCTACTTTCTCTAAGCGGAGTTGTTTAACTCTTCTTCATCTCTATTATTCTCTGGACAATCTCTTGAATAATGTCCTAACCTATTACAGGTGTAACATCTTAACTTTGTTGATCTAATATTGTTTCTTCCTTTACGGTATCTTGCATTTCCTTGCATCTGGACTTCATCTATATCCATTGCATCGGGATCTGGTCTACTATATGAACCTTCTCTGAAATTGTTTCCTTCATTCTCATAATTGTTTCTTCTAAATGTAAAATGTTGAGCAAAATTATTCTTAACCAACTTGTTTCTTGTACTCTTACTTGTATCATCTAATGATTGTGCTAATTGAAAAGCTTCTTCTAAAGTCTTAGGCTTATATACCTTAACTAACTTCTTGATTTCTTCTTTCAAACCTTCAACAAAACGATCTATCTGATAACGTGGTGTGTCGTATGGAAAACTTAATTGTGATGCGAGTTCTGTAAATCTACTAATATAATCTGATACTGATGATAATTGTCTTAACCTTTCTAAACGTTCTCTTGCTGTTGTCTCATAACCTACAGGTAAAAATCTTGCTTTAAATGCATTAACTACTTCTTCATATGTAAATCTATTGTAATCTCCTTGGATGTAATGATCAAACCAATATTGTGCTGTTCCTGATAAATATGTACCGAATAACATAACCTTTTCTGTATCATCTTCAACCTTGTTCATGGTGAAATACAACTTAACACTTGATAAAAATCCATTAACTTCAACGGCACTTCTACTATCTTTGAATGTAACTACCTTTCCTGCCTTAACATTATTCTTCTTACTTTTATTATCAATTGATCTTTGTTCCATTAATTCAAAACCTTGTCTTAATGTGTCTAACAAAATCTCTTCACGTCTACCTTCTTTATCTGCTAATTCCTTATGAATACGTGTAAACTCTTCTAAAAATTGTTCCATGATGACCTTCTCTTTAACCAACTTAAATTACTTTCTATCCTATCAAGTCCTTTACCTTACTACTATATGTGTCTACCTTATGTGTCACTTCACTAACCTTATGTCACTTAACTTAACTTACTAACTATCTATGTCTTCAAGGTATACCTTAACCTAAACCTTAACCTAATACTAAACCTATTACTATACTTGACACTTGACCTATAACTTGACTTGATCTTCTGAATCTTTCTTCTTTCCACGAGGCGCTACCAAA